CCAGCCCAGATCTCTCAGCCTGGCTCCAGAGCAGAGCTGCTCCAGCCCTTGCAGCATCTCCCTGGCCTCCTCTGGACTCACTCCAACAGCTCCATGTCCCTCTTGTTTTGTTGCCTCAGAGCTGGATGCAGAACTGCAGGAAGGGTCTCCCCAGAGCGCAGCAGAGGGGGAGAATCCATCCAGCCACCTGCTGCTCATGCCCTGGGGATGCAGCACAGCACACGGGGGAGGGGGTGGTGGTGATTGTGTCTGAGCTCGACTGCACACTGCTGGGTCATGGGGAGTTTCTCCTCACACCCAAGTCCTTCTCCTCAGGGCTGCTGTCAATGGGAGAGAGGGAAGGGGACACCCTGCTCACCACCATGGTTGACTTTGCTTGTGTCACCGGCAAAAGCTGAGGTTTGGCTTCACAGGGTGACTTACAGGGTCCTGCAAGAGTCACACACTGGCTCTGTCCCAACTGGCTGTGCTCTGCTCGGAGGGAGCTGCTGTTCTGCTAGACAGGGTGGCTGCAGTAATGTCTCCACTTGCTGGGCTGCATATGGGTCCCATCTCCCACAGGCTGTACTGTGAGATGCACAGACCCAGCACCCATCTGCAGAGCTGCAGCCAGGAGCTGTGTCTCTGTGCTCCCCTGGCTCCTTCAACATTGAAGTCCATCTGCCAGGGACAAGGAGCAGCTACCAGCCCACAACAGAGCTGTCATGCTCACACTCATCTATTTAGCAGCACCCCAGCAGAGCTCATTACAGAGCTCAGAGGCAGGAAGGAGTCAGCTTAGCTCAGCAGAGCTGCACCTGCCCCTGAGAACGTGAGTAATGGGGTGTGGGGATGGCATGTGCCTTTCCACCAAGTGTTGTCTGGCTCTGGACTTGTCACCTTTTCCTCTTCACCTGTCACCAGCATCCTGCTGCAGCCGCGAGGTGATGAAGGTCTCATTCTGCATCTGTGCCCCAGCACTCATCATGGGGCCCCGTCTTGGATGATGCCTGCAGCCAGTGGCACAGTCACAGGTGTCTGGGCCTCGGGAAGATCTGGGACAGTTGGTGCCCATGGTGTCACACCAGAGCCTCATCTCAGCCTAGGCTGAGCCACCATCCACACGCCTGCTCACACCCAGGTTTGATCCTCCCCAGTTGCAGCCACCTCAGTTCTCCTTGTGACCTTCCCTGTTGCCTCATGCAGTTCCTCTCTGTGCCTGCCTCCGAAGGAAGCTCAGCAATTAGATCTCTTTCTAAGGTACTTACAGGCTCCTCATGGCTGGGAACAGAGGATGGGAGAAGTTGCAATGAGGTGCAGTTGTGTGGCAGAGGCTCGGCTGGCACTTGGAAGGAAAGTGTGCAGAGGATGTGGTGGAGGATGGAGCAGGGATACTAGGGATGATGCCAGAAAAGGGCAGCAGGGTATGAGGAAGCAAAGGGCCGGCTCGCTGGGGCTATCCCTCTGTGAGATCTCCTGCCACTCTCTCATCAGTGTCTGAAAGGAGGAATCACTCCTGTACTTGCAGGGCAAACCTGCCACCTCCACTCCTGTGACCTGCGTGTGGCTTTTGTGTCCGTCCCTGAGATCACTGCCTGTACTCCAGCACCTTCCCTGGCGTGACCCCTACATCTCTCTGGGGTTGTTCTCAGAGAGCAGCCACTGGAGCCACCCTGGCAACACCAGCACAGGGACAGATAGAACCTGCAGTTGGAAGCCTCTCCTGGGACTGTAGCACCCCTGTAAGCAGCATCACTTCAGGATCAAAGAGGTGTGTAAATGCAAAGGAAGAACCTCATTTCATTAAGATATTTAAGGCCTGGCAGCTTTGGGTGCTCTGTCAAGCTCATAGATCTCTGCCAGCATGTAAATCTGCTAAATTTTGCTGCTGGCAGCTGAGAAGCGTGGGATGAGATAAGGGAGGCAGAACTGACACCAAGGAAATCCCTGAAGGGAGGAGATAGGGATCTATTGCCAGCTGCCTGCATATTCCCCACTGCCAGAACAGCATGGAACATCCTCAGAGCACGAAGTCCACAAGGAGACAGTCTTGTCCTAAAAGTTTAGCCATTTCCCTCTTCCCAGACCAAGGGAGAGTTAAAAGCTCACCTAAACGACTGCATTAGAGGGAGCTGGATCCAGGTCAGGCAGTGCTGCTGGCTCAGCGAGGGTGGGCTGGTTACTGGCTATGTGGGCTGGATTTCAGCTTAGAAAAGAACTAGAGAAACTTCTGGGGTAGGAGGAACATCTCCAGAAAAGGTGAGCCCTGGCAAAAGGAAAACAGAGCCCTTACATGAAAACCATCATGAGAGGGGGTTTAAATTGAGGACAGTGGGTGAGATGAGTGAGCAGTGGGGCAGGGAATCATTCAGAGGTAAACTCAACTGTTCCTTCAATGAAGGAGAACAGTCAGAAAAAAGGACATAAAAAAAGTGGGCTGCCAGGACAAGAAAAAATGCTCTGTGATGGCTGTGGGAGAGGAAAGCAGCCTGCTTTAGATGGGGATAAAGGCATTGGGAAGCCCCGGGGTCCAGAGATGGGGACAGCCCAGGCAAGAGAGTCAAGAAGAAGCAGGTGGAGGGCTGGTGTGTGAGCAGGGGGAAGGAAGGCATCAGCTCAACTGAGTAAAGGGGATATGTGCATCATGAAACTGCATGAATCTGCAGGGAGTGGGCCATGGAACAAAGCGGATGAACAGGACAGCATTAGGGCTTGCTGTAAACCACCCAGAGAGGATGGGGACAATCCCCCAAAGTGCTGTCTCCTCCCTTAGCATTTTGGCTGTGAGAGCATGAAACCACTGCTGGGGCAGAGAGAAAGCATCACAGCAAAACCATCCCAAACAACTGCAGCTGGAGCCCCCAGTTATAGATCCACAAGAAGAGGCATCCCCTGAGCCATACACTGGTGTAGACAGGGGTGAAAAACCTCTGCAGGCCAGAAGGAACTATATAAAACAAACTGGTTGGAAGAAGTGAAAATCGAATACAGAGGAAGATAACTTGCAAAGACCAGGGGGTTACGGTGTGGCCAGTGTGGATGCGAGGCCCTAAGCAGAGATCCTGATGCAGTACCCCGGGGAACCTGCAGGAGGGTGGTTTAACAGCAGAGCGAGCTACCCAAAACACAGATAAACAGTAAAATTCAGATGATTGACCCCCAAATTCTTAAAAAACTGGCACTTGCTGTTTCAAACCAGGAAAAATCACGATGCACAAACAGCCTCACACGGATGAAAATGCATTTTGAGTGTAATTTGCTTACCATAAAAATAAACAATAGCATATTTTGAAACCCCAACAGAAGCAGGAAGTGTGCTGCAGACCTCCGTGGCTGGTGGGGCCTTGCCTGACACAGGCTGGGACAGGACAGATGAAGCAGATTCCTGACTTCCCTACTCCCAGAAGGAGCTGGCAAATGCCAGGCTCATTTTAAGTGCTACAGGAAACACTGGGAACTTAAACCTGGCTTTGGTACCAGGCAAATGTGTTGAAAGATCAAGAAAAAATGGCATGAGAACATGGAAACATATAATCCTGGACTAGTTTGGGTTGGAAGGGACCTTAAAGCTCACCCAGTCCCAATCCCCTGCCACAGGCAGGGACACCTTCCACTAGACAAGGTTGCTCCGAGCCCCTGTGTCCAACCTGGCCTTGAACACTGCCAGGGATGGGGCAGCCATAGCTTTGCTATAAGGAAAGCAAGTGCCTGGAAAACATAGGGTTAAAATACTTTTAACTTAACTTAGGTCAAAGATAGAGAACAATGTTGTGTTGTAAGCGTATGGTGTGATAACAGAATTTAGTAGTTTTACTAACAAGAGTGAATTATTTCTTTCCATCCTTCTAATGAATGAATTATTTCTTACCATCCTTCTAATTATCAGTTAGTTTGGAGACAGTGATTCCCAAACATCTGCTCGCTTAGAATACCCCTTGTCTGCCCATCGTGTTCTGCTTGCAATGAATTTTGTGCGAAGGTCACACTGTTCTAAATCTTTGCCAGCTATCAGAAACTTGCAGATACGGTTGGTTTCAGCTAATTTGTGATTACTGGGGCATCCAACTGTGCCAGAGGTGAAAAGCGCACCCTGAGGAAGACTGCTTACTTCATCTTGAAGACCCCTGCCCACAACCATCAGAGGGCAGTGTGCAAGTGCCAAAAAGGAGGAGACATGATGAGTATCTAAACTAATTGTAATATCCCAGTCGAACTCTCCAGAACCTAATGAATATGCATGTTTGTGTGTAATAAATATCTGCTTGCTTACCCCTCAGGGTGCAAGTTAGGAGGAGTGATCCCCCTTACAACCAGCACCATAATAAACGTACCTGCTTTGTAACTCTGAGTTGTAGAGTCTGATTCTGTGCTTCAGGTTCTCTGGGCACCCTGTGCCAGCGCCTCAGCACCCTCACAGGGAAGAACTTCTGCCTAAGAGCTCATCTCAGTCTCCCCTCTGTCAGGTTAAAGCCATTCCCCCTTGTCCTGTCCCTTGTACAAAGTCATGGTCCCCGCTGTGCACACCTTAGCTGCCCTTCGGTCCCTCACCATGGGGTCTGGGAACCTTCCCCAAGCAAACCTGGGTCTCACGCACCAGAAAGCCAAGGTCAAATCCACCGACACTTGCTGTATGGCAATACCCTAGCGTCCACTTGAGGTTTATAGGTGCACAATGCACAGAAGGGATGGTTTACACGCACAAACACTGAATACCGAGTGACTCCTCCTGGGCCTACACCACTGACCAGCACCCATCAGCTTCTGAGAACAAGTCTGGTGCTCCCAAGGTTGTTATTCAGGGCGCTGCTAAAGTAACGAGCAAGCTGTCAGACCCCAGGTGGAAGCACCTGCCTGAAGAGCCCCACTGCCAACTTCCACTGGCACAGCATCCGCCCCCGGCTCCCGGCTCTTGGGCGGGCTCGGGCTCGGGCGCGGGCTCGGGCGCGGGCTCGGGCGCAGGCGCGGCCGCTGCTCGGTACCGGCGCATGCGCGGGGGCGCGGGTTGAACAGCAGTTGGCTGGGTTATGTCGGGCCGTGGTCGTCGGGGCCGTGGTCGGCCGAGGCCGCCGCCGGAGCAGCCGCGGTGCGAGGCGGCTGGCGGCTCTCTGAGGTGGTGGCGGTGGGAGTCGGGGACAGGGTGGTCCTGTGGGGCGGGCGCTGACGGCTGTCTCCCGTGTCCCGCAGGGTGAGCCGGTTCTGCCCGCAGTGCGGGGTCGGCGTGGAGCCCACGTTCCGCTTCTGCCCGGCCTGTGGCGAGAGGCTGCATGCGCCGCTGCAGCAGCAGCAGGAGAAAGAGCCGACATTGCCCCCGCCGCCGCCGCAGCCGTCCACGAGTCCCGCAGGCTCCCCGGAGACTGCCCCAGCACGGCCCCCGGCTCGGCCCGGCTCCCGCTCGCCCCGCAAGGTGCGGCCCGGCCCGGCGGAGCCCCTGCCGGTGGATGTAGTCCTGACGGACCAGGGCGGCCAGCGATGGAAGCTGGTCCGGCTCCTGGAGCAGAGCGGCTGCGGGCTGGTGTACGAAGGTGCTGTGGAGCCGGGGCGGGAGGGGGGGCTGGTCCCTGGTTGTCCGCAGGGACTCGCGGCTGCTGCCTTGCTTCACCTTTCTGTTTTATAGGCTCAAACCTGAACTGCTGCCAGCATTAGTGTATCATGTAGGCACAGGCCAAGGGGGGGTGTGGGGGGGGTGACTTTAACCTGCCAGAGGAGAGACTGAGATGAGCTCTTAGGCAGAAGTTCTTCCCTGTGAGGGTGCTGAGGCGCTGGCACAGGGTGCCCAGAGAAGCTGTGGCTGCCCCATCCCTGGCAGTGTTCAAGGCCAGGTTGGACGGGGCTTGGAGCAACCTGGTCTGGTGGAAGGTGTCCCTGCCCATGGCAGGGGGTTGGAATTGGATGAGCTTTAAGGTCCCTTCCAACCCAAACCTGTCTGGGACTCTATGAATATCGGCCAAATGCCAATTCTGGATTCTCGGCCTGTTTTGGCTACCAAAAGCCAGCTAAGTCATCTAGACTGCTTCTCAGCTGCTTAGTGACTGCTGATCTTTTTTTTTTTTTTCCAGTCTGCTTGTAAACTTCTAAAGGAAAGGTTTCGATCTTTATTCTCTGTTAACTTGGGAACTGCTCTGGAGGGATTTTCTCCATTAGTAAGTTTTGCCTGACACTTAGCTTTAGTTTTTTTTTAATTACTTATGCTTGTTGCGTAACAAAGTCTGGCCATCCACTTATGTCTTTGTAAAGATGTGAGGCTGGAAAAAGAGGAAATATTGTTGCTATTACAGTGGTTTTACAGAAACAGCTTTTAGGTGATGAACAGCAGCTAACCTGTGTATAGCACTTGGTCTAAGAGTAGGAGTAGAGGAGGTACCCCAGGGGCAAGTAGTGGGTTCAAGTCCTTTTGGTGGAGGAAGGCCACATATTAGTCTTAACATCCGTGCAGAGCAGAAGGGAATTTGGCATCTCTTACAGATCTTTGACAAACTGTGAACTGAGCTGGAGGGAATGCTCAACAAATGAATCTGGGGTTGCCTTTGAGGTTCTACTAATGATTTATTCTTTACATGCCATCTTCAAAGCACCCCTCTACTGTAGCCATGGTGAGATGCTTCTGTGGCTTAAGCAGAACTGCACTTGCAGCATGTCAGGGTGCTGTGCTTCTGAAGCAAGGTAAGGATTATCTTGTAGGGATCTGGAAAGACCACCTCACAAAGGATGCTCCTGGAAAGACCAAGTGAAAGAAGCAGAGGACAAGTAGAAGCAGCTGCACAGGCTGTGTTTAATGGTGCAGCTGATGCTGCACTGCCTCTTTCCTGTGCTCTTGTAACCACATCTGTTCCGTCCTTCCACAGCGCAGTCAGCATCTGGAGCCTGTCCTCAAAAGCAAAGATACTCCCTCAAACTTGTGAGTTTTGATCCATCTGGGTAAGGAATAGTGAAGTGTGTAGTGTGTTGTGTCCAGGGCCTGGCTTATCTGCGCTGCAGGGCTGAGAGGAATGTCCCAGGAACTCGGAGAAGGTGAACACAGAGGCCCCACCTCGCTTAGAGGATGGATGTAACTTTCTGAGGGTGTCATGCTTGGATTTCAGTAGAATTTGGCTCTTCCACTAAAGGTGTGAAGAAAATAGATACGAGGATTAAACCCCCCACAAGCCCTAATTACAGAAGGTTTGCCTCTTTGGTCTGCCAGGCTCAGTAACCTCCAAAACGATCTGGTGGTGTAAGGTGGAGTTCTCAATTCACTAATGTCAGACCTACTTTTTTTCGTGTGTGGCAAGTATGTATGTACCTTGCTGAAGTCTGGGGAAATGGGGAAGTTAGAATTGGTTGGCTGTGCTGAAGTAGTGTGATGCACCAGCACTGAGAGGCTCTGTAAGGCCAGAGCATATTTTCAAATCAAACAGCCTCTTGGAGTTCTGAGCCAGCTTTCCAGGCACTTGCCAATAATCTGGGCTCTCCAGAAATGTGCTGTTTCCAGTAATGGCTGCTCTGCAGTGGAATCTAATTGATTGATATTCAGTAACTCACAAACCAGAGCAGAGAGGCTATTTTCTTGTCTTCCGTGGCACTTGGGGTTGCTTGTCTGTGGGAGGACCAGTGCAGACAGCTCTGGGGGGACCTGGTGAAAAGTCACCGTCCCTTTCGATGCATTTAGCGGCTGAAGAAAGAATAGTGCTAATGACAAAAGACAGCCAAGTGCCACAAAACAAGAAACAGTGGGTGTGAAGCTTTACAGAAGGAAACTTGTGTACACAACACTGCCAACCACCCTGTTTTGCACCTTTGGCATCTTCCAGTGTTTTGCTTGGTAGCCGCCTGCTGGCCCAGCCCATCCCTTGCCTGGTGAGGAGTGTACAGTCTGATAATGCACACAAGAGCAGTTAGGCTCCTGGCTTTGGCGGCTCAGATCTGCTCACCAGGCAAGGTGCTGAATAAAATACCCTCTGGAACATGGGTGTTAGTGTTGTTTGGGCCCTGCTGATCCTCCAGCTAGCTCAGCCAGTTGTGGGTAGGGCCTTTGGGATCAAACCAGCTAGAACATGAAACTGCTGCTACCTCCCCTGTGTGATGGCATCTGTCCTTAGTTAGTTTGCAGTGTGCTGAATATACATATATGTGTGCATAGGCAAACACACAACACATACTTCCAGGGCCTAAAGGGGCTACAAGAAAGCTGGAGAGGGGCTTTGGACAAGGGCCTGTAGGGACAGGACAAGGGGCTACAAGAAACCTGACAGAGGGGAGACTGAGATGAGCTCTTAGGCAGAAGCTCTTCCCTGTGAGGGTGTTGAGGTGCTGGCAGAGGGTGCCCAGAGAAGCTGTGGCTGCCCCATCCCTGGCAGTGTTCAAGGCCAGGTTGGATGGGGCTTGGAGCAACCTGGTCTAGTGGAAGGTGTCCCTGCCTGTGGCAGGGGCTTGGAACTGGATGAGCTTTAAGGTTTCGTCCAACCCAAACCAGTCTGGGATTCTGTCATACTGACTGTAAACTATATGCATTTCAGTTCACTAACAGCAGTAGTGAAAGTGCAGTACTTGCTGATTTAAAAAGCTGGATGTAAGATGTCAGCACGCAGCCTAGCTTTAGAGGTACAGACTTTCTCCCTTTCTGGCAGCTAGAATAAAATGTTACAGCTCTTTGAGACTTGCTTGTTTACAGAATAACCTCATGTGTGCTGTGGGTAACTGGGTCACCTCTGCTCCTTTTAATACTTTTTTGAGCTTTGGGGCTGGAGCTCATTTTGTGGTGTTGACATGGTTCTAACCCACAGGCAGTTGTAAATGGTAATGCCTGAAATGTCCAATGTCAGAAGGCTGCTCCCTTGTTCTGTGCTGATCTCAGAGCGTTTGTGATGGTTGGGTGCAGCATTAGTGACACAAAAGACCTGAGCTTTGTTGTTGCTCTGGTATTTATTTCTTTGTGGGGGTTTGTTGCTCTCTTTAAAATGAGTAGTGAAGGTCCTGTAGTGATCTTGCCCAAGATCTTGTGATCTGTATCAATCTTGCCCCCTCATATAGCAGGGGGGTGTGGCTGTAGTAATGCTCCTTCCTCTTCCCTGTAGGATGTAAAAGGTGGAAGGATCTACAATGAACAGAATTTCTTCCAGCGAGCTGCGAAGGCGGCCACAGGTTGGTGCTTCTTAGAGGGGCGGGGAGGAGGCTGCTTGTAGGAAACTGCCACCCCTTTCTCATCAGTCGTGCAGGTCTCTCCAGTGGCCAGGCTGGAATGAACTAATTCACTGTTTGGGTAGTGCCAGAGAGCTGAGAAGTTGAGTCCTGGGACCCTGCTCTCCCAGGAGCCCCTATGTACCTGGATACTGCAGTATTCGCATTTTGAAGCTCTCTTGCCCTGTCTTGATCGCACTGTAGCTGTTCAGCCCTGCAGCCTGTCCTGCTTGGTTTCTTCTTTCTTCTGTGCCTCTTCCATGGGCATTTCTGTTTTCTCCTGTCTGGTATTTACTGCATTGACCCAGAAACCTGAGCCACAAAACATGGGCTGGGGTGATGGAGGAGTTCACATCAAACCCACACTTTTGGGAGGACTATAAAATTCTTCGGCCCTCTCCCATCTTTCTCATTTTTCCTTGTCCTATAGCACCCACACACCTTAGCCTGCTCTGGTATTCCTGCATCCTGTCTGTCCCACTCTTGCTCTGCAGCACTGTGCATTGACACACAGATACCCCAACACATAAGGCTGGCATTTCTGGAACAGAATCACTATGAGATTGGATCCAGCTGTAGCTGCCCAGGGCAGAGCACCCGTTGGAGAAACGGCATCCCTGACTGAGCTCCTTCCTGCTGGATCTGCTGGGCAGCATCTGCTGCACTCTATCCTCTTCTCTCCCATTCTAGTGGAGAAGTGGAGGAAGGGGCACTCTGTGCCGTTGCTGGGAATCCCCAATTGTGTTGGCTTTGGACTGCATGCAGATACCTACAGGTGAGTTGACTCTGTGAAGGGCACAGCTGATCCACAGCTGCCACCACCTTGCACTTTTCTTCTTGCTGTCTGCTATTCCTCTTCTCATTGTCTCCTGGACTCCCAACCCTATGCACTGCTCCTATTTCATTGATTAACAAAGGTTTGCCCCATTATCCCATTCCCTTCAGTCCTTGTGTTGCTGGTGAAGTCATTGCTTTTGCTGCTTCCTGCTTCTTTCCCCTTATTCCTGCCTTTTAAGTTTAACCTGAAGGGGAGACTTGGGCTTTATATCTGCAACACTTGATCAGTATCTCTCCCCTTTTCAAGTCTTCTGTCATCAAAAGTTTTGGAAATGCTTGGCCAGACCCATTGGAGCTGAAGGGGGCTCTAATCAGGGGGATGGCTTGGCAAGTGGCTATGGCAGAGTTTCCAGATGGGGTGCTGTGTGTTAAACCCTTGCCTTTTGTAGGTTTTTGGTGTTCTCTGACTTAGGGCGAACTCTTCAGTCTGTCCTGAATGATGGCTTGCACCTACTGAGGGAGAAGGCAGCTTTTCAGATTGTAGTCCGGCTGGTACGTAGAGAACCACTGCTTCCTAAGAAACTTTTCCAGAAAGTACCTATAACTTTCTTCTGGATCTCTCAAAGGGGGTGTAAAGCTGACCTGGGGGGTTGGTTGAGGTCTCTCAGTAGCATCTCTTGAGCTTGTAGTAAGCTTGAGTAGCATCTTTTGGACAATATGTCACCTTGAAAGAATTTGGGATAAGAATGAGAGAAACCTGACAGTTGAACATTAGAGGCTGAGAGACATGGACCTTTGTTTGCTTCTCTACACAGTTGAAGGAAGCTGGGGAGGCTCCAGCTCAGGGACAGGCAAGGTGCTGAGGGAATCTGTCTAGCTCTGATATGCTCGTCTCTTCTGTTTACTCCTAGCTGGACTGCCTGGAGTACATCCATGAGAATGAGTATGTGCATGGGGACATCACAGCTGAGAACATCTATTTGAACCCAGCAGACCACATGCAGGTAGGGAGCGATGCTGTGCAGGTGGGCTTCAGAAACAGGATAGAGCAACACCCAGGTTCCTGGGGCTAGGCAGTGCAGCCTGTGCAGTGCTCAGGCAGGTGCTGTGGTGCACGACTGTGGGACTGTGAGCAGAATTCACACCATGCACACACTCAGACTTGTACTTCTTGATGTCTTCTAGGTGACCCTCGCAGGCTATTGCTTTGCCTTCCGTTATTGCCCAGGAGGGAAGCATGTGGCTTGGCGCGAGGGCAGCAGGACCCCTCACGAGGGCACGATAGAGTTCATCAGTGTGGACAGCCACAAGGGTGCAGGTGAGTTGGTTTCTTTCCTGAGCTCAGCTCTAGAGCTGTTGCTGTGGCAGTGATGGCTGTAGCTGGGGCTCCCTGCTGGCATTTCTGTTACTCCTGCTTTCCAGGCATTCACATGCACCTGGAACAAAGCTCCTGTTTGGGCTGTTTACTCTTGCCTCTCTCTGGGCTGCTGCACTGGGACTTGGCAGGTCACTCAATGACTGCAGCAAGAGGTGCAGGGATGTACCTGCTCCATCTGGAGCCTTGGCTACTGCAGGCGTGCAAGGAATAGAAAACAGGGCAGCTTTGTGCTGGCTTAGCAGGGATCTGAGTCAATCCAGGTTGGATCCCTGCCCAAAACAGATTTGCAGCAGGCTCTGCTCTGACCTTGAAGCAGTGAGAGCTGGGAAGGCATTTAAATTAGCCAGTTCTTCTCCTGGCTGGGATGTGACTGTTCTCTCCCAGTGTCCAGACTGGGAAAATCTTCCTCCAGAGGCTGAGAGGTGACTGTGAGTTAGCAGCATTCCAGAAGTATTGATAGCCCAGAGCACATCTTAACAAAGCTCTTGCATTTCTTCTGCTCTTTAGTCTTGTGCCGCTTCAGAAGGCTGTCTGTTGTACAGAGGGGGCATGTCAAATATGGACTTCCAGGGTTGTGCGGAAAGCGCTGGTGTCCTTTGGAGGAGAGGCACTAGCCTGGGTCTCCCAAACTCTGTTGTGAATCTTTCTTTCTTCCCATCAGGACCATCTCGCCGAAGTGACTTGGAATCTCTGGGCTACTGTCTTCTGAAGTGGCTCTGTGGCTTCTTGCCTTGGTCTGATGAGCTGGACAAAGTAGAAACTGTGATGGAGAAGAAGGAAAAGTAGGAGAAATCATCTCATCTACCCTTGCTACTTTCTTGCTCAGCAGAAAGCAGGGAGGGAAGTTCTGTGTTTGAAATCACTTGGGCACAGGACACTTATAGGGCCATGGGTGACTCCCACTGTAAAAGCTGAGCCTGGCCAGAGGGTGTTTGATGAATCCTGTTTTCTGCTCCATTCAGAATATGGCCATCTAAATTCAGCTTTGTTTCTTTTCTGTCCCTGTTGCCCAGGACAGGCTGCTTAGGTGCCTGCTCCATTGCTTGTAATCTGACAGCTCTCTGCACTGATCATTCCAGGTACAGAGGGGATGTGAAATGCCTTCTCCGGCTGTGCTTCAGGCAGAGATCCATTCCAGGTACAGGTTTGTTCTCTGTGGCAGTGGGACTTGGGGAAGAAGGATTGAGGGTACCTGAAGTTAGAGCCTTCTCTGTGCTGGGGTGCTTGTCCAGAGTGGCTGCCACTGGCAATGGTGACCAATCACTGCATGGACTGACAAGCTCCTGTGGACAAATCCCTTGTTTTTACAGCAAAACAAAGAGGACTGCTACCTACTGTCTGTATCCGTGAGCTGTGCTGGAGAGGCACATATGGGCAGCTCTGTAGAGACAGCTGGGGCTACTGTGCTGCTCCATACAGTGATGCTGTTGGCCTTGCAGATGCCCTACAGAGCTACGTGCAGCAAGTAACGGCGCTGGAGTATGAGGCAAAGCCTGACTATGAGGCCCTGCGGCAGCTCTTTAAGAAGCCACTGGAAAAGATGAAAGCTTCAGCTTATGACTCAGTGGATATCAAAATGGTGCCCTGAGTAAGTGCCATGGTTTGGATGGCAGCAGCATGGAGCACTTTGTCCCTCTGCACTGCTGTGAGCACAGCAGCAGCTTGGTGCTACTGCCCTGCTCCATGTGCCCTGGGGTGCCTGGGGAGGTGAGCATGGAGCAGGCTGTAAGATCTCTTTCCTAACGTGTGGAGGGAGTGCTGCCCCTTCACCATTCCCAGTAAAGAGCCCAGCCCAGTGCTAAAAGTCAGGCTTAGCCTGTGTCACAGCATGTTTCCTCCGTTTCTTTCTGGAAATACTTGTCCTTGGAGGAATCCAGCCAGGATTAACAAAGCAGGTTAAATAATCTGCAGAGCTGTGGAGGTGGTAACAAAATGCAGATTGATGCACTCTGGTCCATTTAAAATTTCTGTCTTTAAAGAAGGCTCTGAGCTGTAGCTTTTGCTTTTCCTTTTCAGAAAGCACCTTTAGCTCTGGTTTTACTGCCTTGGGCCTGTGGCACTAAGTGGTGGCTCTAGACACAGGTGCTCTGTTCTGTCCAGGAGGCACTTCCAAGACTGAGGCTTTGACAGAGATGGGCCTTGTTTTAGCCTCAGCAAGGCCACTAGGTTAAGCACCAAGCCCCAACACACAGAGCTAGTTCCTCATCACCTCAGTTACTCTCCTGGGAAGGAACTGAACTGTTGAATGTTCATGTTTTGTTCCTTTTCTTTCAGATCAAGAGAAATTGCACAGGAAAAGTGTTGAAAGCTTTCTGCAGCGTGAGGCCTTTCTCACAGCTATTTAACTTTTACCCAGCTATTTTAGAACAGTTTTAATGTGAGCCAATGCTAAATTTTGAGCTGCTGTTGTAAGAAGTTAATGTGAAGATGCCCCTGTGTGGGAGGTTGTTGGAAGAACTGTGATGTAGCCACGAGAAGGGCAAAGCCTGGCACAGAAAACTAAATCAGGGACTTTTTTTTTAATTTTAACTAGAGTGACAGTACATAGTTTTGTAATAAACTTTGTGGCCAAGTACCCAGAGCTGCTCTGTGTTGGTTACGTGGCATAGTCAAGGCCTTTCTGGGGCTGCTGTGGAGCTGTGAGGGTGGTTTCAGCAGCTGCTCATATTTAATGCAAGATATTAATTCCAAGAACTAGACTCTGACCTCAACTCCCCCTTATCCCATGTTCTCACAGCCCCAGAGCAGTGTAACAACTCACTGAAGTAAGACATGGAGCCACCTGTATTAAAAAAGTTTTTTATATATATAAAAAAAATAAAAAGTCACTACACTGTGTGTATCTGAACTGCTGCCAACTGCCACAGTAACTTCTAACCAGAGGAAAAGGCAGAGTCCAGTTCCAGTGTTCAATTCAGTGACGTCTCCTGCACATCTTGTACCTTGGTATTCAACGGTGTTTGTCAAGAGAAGATGTTCTCATGTTCACAGGCTGAAGATGTAGCCCAGGCGTGATGGGCTGAAGTCAGTGGAGGTGGCCAGCACAGATTTTATCATTGGCAAGAGAAGCAGATGCTGCTCTTGCAGCTTAGGTGCCAATAGGAAGGCCTAAATTAGGGCTTGCAATGAGAGACTGACTGCCCTTCCTTGTGTTGCTGCCTGGATCTAGTGTTCAAGTGAGTTGTGCTTTCCTTGAGGACATGTTAATGGAAACAGCAAGGAAGACTCTGAGAGACACAAAGTGAAGTGGAGGCAGCAGCTGGAGGAAGCAGTTCAACCACAGTTCCAGCAGAGACTAACAGTTCACAGAGATCACGTTACTGGAGCACTTGGCAGTGAAGCGTTAAGGCACAAAAGGAGGATTTTTTAGGGGAGGAAAACATGGCAGCTAGAGCCAAAGGCAATGGAGTTAAAAATCATCTGAGAGGTAGGTAAAACAGAAGGTCAGACCTACAGTGAGCCTTCATTTACCTCGACTGTATCCATAAAAATCTTGTATCAGTGCAGCAAATGGTATATACAAAGAGAAGGGAAGCACCAGCTAAGTGAGACAGTACCTGGCCAAAAGGAAAAGGCAGCACATCCTCAAAAAGGTCTTTCAAGTGGAAGAATCCAAACATAGTGTTCCAGCAAGTAACTTGAGAACCAAAGTTAATTCCTTTCATTTAGGGTACCAGGCCTCACAGTGAAGCAAGGGACATAACACGTTCATTCCTGTCACCAAGGAATAACTGGTGAGGTATGACAGAATTGAGTTATAACATTTCCTATGTGGAGAAGGATCTTAGTTTGCAGAGGATCAGACAATAGGGAATACTTTTAAAAGGCAAGGAAGGAAGTGACCCAGAAGTTCAGCTACAGGTTACAAAAGAGACATAAGCAAAGCTGAGGGGAAGGGCTCTTTTTGGAGGTACTGACAATTACTCACTATCATCCCTGTATGGCTACAACAGAAACACTGATTCCAGAAATCTCAGAAAAGAGCATGAGGAAATCAGAGGCTGAAGAAGCCCAAGTTGACCCTTTCTTCACTGTGTTCCGCCACGTTTTTCCTCTTTACTTGCCTTCTGTCACACTTGCCTGCGCCAGGCCTCGCACAGGCTGACTGTAAACATGGTTCCAGGTAGTGAGGCAGGTATGGCTCCTTGCTCCTGGCGCTGCCAACAGACAGTGCTGAGGTAGGTTTCAGAGGTACTCCAAGGCTGCCTTCTAAAGAAGACATAGGACTGGCACTGTTGACAGAAGAGTAGCCTGAGCTCCCTTCCAGGTTAGAATTTCTTGGGGTGAGATATGCTGAAAGGCTGTGAGTGTCATCCAGCAGCTTTGCCTCCCACAGGGGCACTCTGTGCCCACCCCACTCCACAGTTAAGTTGTCCTCATCGCTGGAGTCCTGACAGCAGTGCTCTGCAGGATCCATGTAAACCACTGTCATGTCCAGGATCCCACTAGGACTTGTCACTGTGGGATGGTGAAAAAAATAATTAGTTTTGATTTGGGCAACACCAGGCAGACATTCAAGCAGAAAAAAATCAACCAAGAGTGGAAATTTAATGTCTACCTACACATGGGAGGGTAGAGCACTAAATTCATCCTCATTTCATGGAATGGTTTTGGTTGGAAGAGACCTTAAAGCTCATCCAGTGACAATGCCCTGCCATGGGCAGGGACACCTTCCGATAGACCAGGTTGCTCCAAGCCCCATCCAACCTGGCCTTGAACACTGCCAGGGATGGGGCAGCCACAGCTTCTCTGGGCACCCTGTGCCAGCGCCTCAGCACCCTCACAGGGAAGAGCTTCTGCATAAGAGCTCATCTCAGTCTCCCCTCTGTCAGGTTAAAGCCATTTCCCCTTGTCTTATCACTACCTGCCCTTGTGAAAAGTCCCAATCTGAGTGGGAGAAAAGATACTGTTTTAACTGGAAAGGGACTTTTCACAAGGGCAGGTAGTGATAAGACCAAGAGCTGTTTAGAAAATAACAGCCAGTCCTAAAGTCAGCAAGATTTGTAATACAGCATGTCTAACTCAGTGGGACATCACATATTGTCCACTATCAGCAGGACCTGCAAACAGGCTCCCTTTGAAATGCTGAGCAGCTACAGACGCTTTATCACACTCTGAAGAGAACAGCTATATACCTCTAAAACAGTTCAACAGTTACAACCACGGGTGCAGGGGGAATGTTTTTTCCAACTGGTCTTCAGCTGAAAGTTCAGGCTTCTGTTGCCTGATAAAGTTTTAATTCTCATCTGCTTTTATAAAGGAGAACAAACCCCTCACCATCTCCATCTCTCTCGCCTTCGCTTTCCTGATCACCTTCATAACCAGAGCAGGAATCTAAACTCCAGTCTAGGAAGTTATCTAGAAGACTTTCCTCCTGGGTGGATAGCTCTGCTGTGGGTGTAGTCACAAAGCTGCCTCTGTCATCCTGAATGCTGTCTTCCCTCCTCCTGTAGCAAGGAAATCCACAAGTCACACATTAAAAGCCAAGTCCTCTCTTCTGTCTCTTTTCACAGGTATGACAAGGTAAGATTTATCATATTTAAGAATGAAACCTCAGGATACCAGAGGAGGAAAAGCTCATGATGATCTTCAGCAACATTTACAGTGAGGAGTTATACTGGCCTTTTAGTTCTCTTGCCAGAGGGAGAGCTTAGGAAAGTCTGAATTTCCACCACATTTGTATGCAAGGGATTGGGCTCTGGGTCCTCCTGTTTCACACCCAGCACTGAACAGAGCTGGCTGTAACTCATCATCTGAAAAATCGAAGAGCCAGTAAGAATTAGACCATGAGATTCCCATGAAGAATAAATAGCCAGGAGGAGGCTATTTATTTTCCAAGAGAAATCTATCCCAGTGAGTTCTTGCCACATGTACTCAAACAGAGCAGTTAATGTCCCACAGATCAAGGTTAAAGCTACCACTTTAGATATCTTTAAATGTCTGAAGTTAGAACCCACTTCCCATTATTTACATCTTATCACATCCTGCTGTATGGTAGCTTTGCTCTAGGTATCAGACATCAGCAAAGACAGACCAAGAGCTCACTCACCTTCTCCTTGCCTATCTCTTCATAACGCTCATCCTCAAATCGTTGTTTCACTGCAGTTAAGGACACCTGCCTATAATCCTTTGGGACATCATCATGGAAGCTGGAAAGAAATATTAAAGCCCCAATCTTAGAATGGATTATATGAAACAACGTTAACAAACCCTGCCAATTCAAGTGCTCCCAGCTCCCTCTGTCCATCTCAACTCTGTGCTAAGTTAGTTGGTGTTTCAGCAGAGCTACTAAGCAGCTAGCTAGGACACTTGGTTTCTAAGCATATGAGAATCTAATTCATTTTCTGTTCCTGAGAATAATCAAAATATTTGCCTTGTACTCTTGTAAAACGAGCTACTTTTGCTCCTGGAACTCCTGAAGCTCCCCAATAAGCCAGTTTCAGTCTTCTGAAAATGAGCTGTTTGGCAAGCTGAAAACTGTGAAGCCTTGAGGAGTATAAAACCCAGAGCCACTACCAGATGGTAGAAATAGAAGAGCTGTCCCTGAGCTGTCCCAATTCCCCCTTGTGCCTTGTGTCAGGGGAAACAAGGCAGTTTGCCAAAGCCACCTCTGCCACTGGGAGGGCTGACCCTATTGGTGCAGCATGTCTGCAAGAGCTGGAATCCAAGTACAAATGTGCCCTCCCAAAAGAGTTCCAAAATTATTACCACTTTTGGTAGAGGCTTAGGACACAGGGCAGCAGGTCTTCAAGGGAGAAACCAGTGCACTCAGACAGCTGGCTGGTCCAGGGGTGTGCTGGGAAGAGAACACACATTACAATTGCACAGAGCTTAGCAGTTCTGTAATCAGAGACATGTTTTTAAGGGATAAAGATCATGATCTTTACAAGCTTATCCCTGTACATAGTTCATAATTAGCTTCAAGGGTAGGTTTATCTGCCAAACTGAAGTTATACCTAAGTATAGAAATCTTAAGCCTCGTTTAAACACAAAGCTTGCATAGTCTGACACTCATTACAGCTATTAAGAGGTAAACCAGACTAAACTCAGCTCTTCATTCTGAAATCTTATACCTGGTGTCCTCCCCCAGCCAAGTGATTGGGACTTATTGTCTAAAGACTAAGCAAACCCCAAAACCCTAAAGGCTTTCTAAAGAGTCAAAGCAGGCTGACATCCCATGCTGAGCTCCACTTAAGGCTAGGTTTGTTACCTTGCCTGTGTAGTACTTTAGCCAGCAGCAGCGCTGCAGCTGCCACCCGAGCTGGAGAATACACACAAAGGCTGGTGTTTAAGAGTGACAGTTCGCAAATGAAGCTGTAAAGGTGAAGAGTTCTTCTCTCCAGTGAGCCAATGTTTGACAATACTTCTTTGTAGTCCACAATGGTAGGTATCTAGTGCAGAGAGGAGAACAGAGGTTGGGAATATGAGACAAGCACTGAGTATTTAGAACAGTTGTTTATAGGAGATGCTGTTCTCATTACATCATGACTTTTTGTTTGTTTTTCTAACTACTACACTGACATTGAAACATTCTTCAGCAAAAGAATAAACAGCTTAAGTTTTAACCTCTACAGAAA